ATTCATTTTTCAGTCAAATATTGGTTAATTTTTTGCTTCAACAATTAGTAAAAAATAACTAGTAATAAAAATAAATAAATAACAAAGAGAACAGTTAAATTTGACTAATTAATAATAATTTGATTTAGTAGATTCAAATTTTGTTACGAAGTAATTTTTGAAACAGATAGAACTGTCATTTATTTAGGTAAAAGTTGATAATTGTTTCCCATATGTTATATTAGATGGTCACTATTCATAGCATTGGTGTTATGTCTTGTTTTTTAAATATTATAAAGTTCAACGCTACACGCACGCATGTATTTTAAATTAAATACTGCTTTTAAATTAAAATACCATTTGAATCATTTGAAATAATACACACTTCGTGAGTATTGTAAACGCACATATTGGCTTTTAATGTAAAGACAATCACATCACCGGTATAATAATAATCAGTATTGTAAATAACGTGGTAGCTCTTATTTTTACCTTGGCACAGTAACGTCTGATTGCTTTCGCACTAATATTATATACTCCCTCAACAATTATAATATACAGCAGCATAATATCCATAGTTTATAATTAGCCCAGATTTGTAATTATAAAAGAAATAAAATTAAAAGTCAAACAAAATATATATAATATTGAGAGCTATTAATATAAAATAAAATTTTCCGCTCTTGAAATATAATATTGTAGTTGAAGCAACGGTTAATTTCTGGTTTTTTTATTCTTAGAGGACTATTGCTATAATTTACTTCAAAACAACTATATGCCTTTTTTGTAGCACGTGATTTTGCCAACGGAATCACTGTTGATTAGGAAAAAAGAAATGTTTCAGGTTTTTTTCTTCTAAGGGAAATGTATATAGGAAAGAGTTAGTGTAAACTATATAACTATTATCCTAATTCCAGTTACTTGCTCTAACAGAGAATAATAATTTCTCATTGTTATAGAAAAGAGAAAAATATGCAAAACTTTATTTTTCTTTCTTTTCGTTTTCACACATAATTTTCATTTCCTTATTAATTTTATGATTCTTTCTAAATCTGAATTAGTGAAAACTGAGCCACTAATTTACATTTTGTTTAAATAGTAGTTCTAATTTTTTTTACTAAAGTTTTAGTGAAAAATGACTAAAACTTTTCAAAAATTATTAAAAATTTTTACTAATGTGAATTAATGGCTCAATTTTTATTAATAATTTACTTTCAGAAAGTTTCATTATTTTTCTTTATTTGGAAAATTTTCTAATAATTAATAGATTACACGGGATAAAAAGTTTGGGTTATTAGGGTAATTTATCACGATATTTTAGTTAAAACAACCAAAATTCTGGTTAATCTATAACCGGAAAAATATAGTAAGGGTATATTTAACACGTTATTCTAGCTAAAAACCAGAATTTTAGTTATTCCAAACAGAATTTTTTTCAGATTACTTTTTACTCTGATAGCACAGAATATTTCATTCACATTTCTGAAATATTCCATTATAACATGGAGAATAATCCTTTGGAATATTCATTTTTATATATCTTAGGAATATACATTAAAATGTTCGACCTTTAGAATGTTCTTTTGGAATGTTCCTTTGAAATAATGAAAGAATATTCCATAAAAATATTAAAATATTCCATTGGAATTTTGTAAAAATATTTTTTATTTTTAATAGTATATTAGTATTTACTTTGAACTGAAAAAAGTTGTAAATTTAAAAAGTCAGTAATATTTCATTAGAATATTCCTATAATATTCCAAAGAAATATTATTACTATACATTAGAATTACAATATTCCAATGAAATATTCCTATTTTATTACAAAAGAAAATTGCAAAGGTAGGACATTTTAATATTCCTAAAATGTGTAATGGAATATTCTAATGGAATATTTCCAATATTCTAATGGAATATTTCCAATATTCTAATGGAATATTTCCAATATTCTAATGGAATATTCCAGGAATGTAAATTAAATATTTGTTATTGCACTGAGGCACTGAGAAAACAATATTTCTGAATCGAATATAATTATCTTTTATATATTAGTCAACCAAAAACTATGTTTGAAGTAAACAATAATTTTTATTCAACACACATGACAGATTTAAATCTTAATTTAAGTCTGAATTGAACTTAAGTTCAATTCAATTATAAAATATTTTCAATTCAAATATTTTTTATGATTTACCAGTTTTAAACGTTCAAATCAACGAGATATTTGTAAATAAATACATTTTTTTTTCATTTGAACGCTTAAAACATCAGGAACATCATTTTTTGGTTGACTATTTATATGTTTGAATTAAGCAAACTTCTTTCAGTGTAGGGTATATCTATAATTATTCCTCAATAAAATTTTTTACAAAATTTTCTAATTTTACTGAAGACTTCTAGGCGACTTTTAGAGTTTTACTAATATGGAATGATTCTAAAGAATAATTCTACAAAGATTCTAGTATTCTGTATAGAATATCACTTGAGTAATTCTAAAAAACTTCTACACGAATTCTAGTAAACATAAATATAAAAACAATAAATTATGTAAATAAATAAATAAATAAAAGAAAACAAAAAACTTATATTTACATGAATAATAATGAAGTTGAAACTGGCTCCCAGTTATCAGCACTCATTTAATTTTTGACGTTAAATTTTAACATTAAATATTTTTTATGAAGATGAAACTTGCACCCAGTTATCAGCACCCACCTTATTTTTAAAAATTTTATGTTGGTTTTAATTAAAAAAAATATTTAATTTTAAAATTTAATTTGCAAAATTAAGTGGATGGTGAAAACTGGGTGCAAGTTTCAGCTTCATTAAATAAAATAATCTATTTTTTCCCTCGCTTTATTTTCTCTGATTTTATTCACTAATAAGAATTATTTACAGTTGATTTATTATTGTAATTAAAAATATTTATTTTATTTTATAACCGAAACGAAACAATTTTATATCATCGCCATACTTCGTATAATCTATTCGCTTCATATCGTTTGTGAGCGAATTTTCATGCCATCTAGGCGGCAATTTAAAGAATTGTATTGGCGCGAAATTCAAAAAAAGAAAAATCTAATTAATATTGTATTAATATTTTTAATGTAATATTAATTAATCTATAATTAATTAATATATACGAGAGAAATAATTTTTACCTTATATTTACTAGAATTTATGTAGGTACAAATTTTATTAAATTGTTCTAATAAAATTCTATGGAATTTTGATGAAATCCATTTCACTGGATTTTACATATAGAATTATTATTCTATAGAACTGTTCCAGTAAAATTCTTAAATAAGAATTTTTTCAACTGGGAATTGCAAGTAAAGTTTTGAATTTCAATTTATTACTCCAGCGTTTTTTTTTAAACGAAGATTGATTTAGAAAAGCAATTTTGGAATTTGAGAAGACGTAAAATGTTCGAATAAAACAATTTACAGTTTTGGATAACAGAATTTGGTTAAATGGAGAATCTACTGTATTTTATACACTTTGGTGTAGGTGTTTTTATATTCCCAGGAAAGCAAAACAGTTATTAATTCAAGAGAGAAATAACCTTGCAAAAGTTGCATTTTATCGATAGAAAATTTTAGCATCAAGGATGTTTTAAGGTTTCGTAACGTTTATGAGAAATCGAAATATATCATTAAAACGTGGGTGGAGGACAGAAATAGCGTAGGCATAATGTTATCTAATGAGGTATTGTACATTTTAGGTAGTCGAGCATACATGTATATATATAAAAAAGGAGATGACGCTTTAGACCTGTTTTTTATTTATTTTTTTTGTATATAAGGCTCGGTATTCGTCACGATTAATCAGACACTTATGCCCTCAGGTGTAAATTCTATAACATAATCCTTTCTTTATATAAAAAATCAATGGTATTTTTGAGGATATAAAAATATTTTGAGTCTCCATGATTTCTATACCTAATAGGTAATTAATAACGATTATTGTTCCACTGATTCTTGTTTAAAAATTCGATCAAGAATTGGAAATTCTTTTCTACTATTGTTTTACAACTGAATTTATATTTTCTAACCGACAGTTATTTTTTTGTTAATTTTGAACATTAATTTACTAAATTTAGTATTTAGATTTGAATACTAGACTTAGTATTTCATGTAATAATTTAAAATTATTATTATGTTGTTACACTCAAAAAGAAAGTTTGAAAAAATAAAGTTTTGTTTAAATCAACCAAATAAATATTGCTATTAGCGAAACATCAGTTTGGTTCAACTAAAAAATTTGCTGCAGATGACTAAATTCTTTCTTCGAAGGTAAAATTTATTTAACTGAACCAAACATTTATTTAAATCAAATAAATATTTATGTAGGTTAAACAATCTATTTAGCGTGACCTAAAAATAAGGTTTATGCAACAAAATAGAGTATTATTTATTTGATTCAAACATAATTTTTTCTTTGAGTGTAATAATTACTATTTTAATGTACGAATTTTGACAAAGCGTGGAATAGTAAAAAAACAAACTAGAGAATATTATCATAAATAAATAGTTTTTATCTATTTCTAAGAATTACTATGCTTAAAGCATAAAATTTTTAGTCGACCATTGTTTGCATAAGTCGACATCTCGTTATTTTTCATGCTTCATTGATTATTTCTTTTTATAATTTCTCTAAAAAGCCGCAGTCATTAGAGATAGCTGAACGTTTCTCAATCTTCTTCAAAAAGAGAATAATATAAAATACCTCCACCTGAATGATTTTACTTCTATATACATTAATGTTTTGAATAATTATATTCATATTTACTTTTTATAAAACTCGCTTTTTTGGATCGTTTTTATCACAGATTCTATACAGTTAAGTTTAATATATAAAAAAGTAATGATTTATTATGATGCCGAATTCAATAGTAAAATGATAGTAATTTATGAATTATAGTTTTTTGTTTGTGGTAAGAAATATAATTTTTAAAAACATTTAAATTTCACAAAAAAGAAAATTATATTTGAAATTACAATGTAATTTATAATAATTACCTCTCTTACACCGAGAACAACAAGTAACCACCACGTTTTCGATAACATCGCCAACGATGTTCCTCGGAAAATTGTCTTTTTCATGATAATTTTTATCGTAAACTTTCACACCAATTAAAAATAATATCTGAACCTCGTGAAGACACGAGTCTGTCACTAAAAATAAAGAACTGGTTTTCTTTCACACCTGTAGAAGCACACATGAAAATTGACATTTAATTTCTTAAATGTAGAAGACAATCCTTAGTGTAATCATGTTATATTTTCGTCGATTATCTGTTGAAGATGCGTCATTTCGTTTCAGTAATAATAACAACGTTTTTTTTCTTCTAAATTTTCAAGCGAAAATTTCTTTCCGGTAAATTCCAGACGGAATTTACACTCATTTGCACATTTTTTTCTATAGATAAAAATACAGGTCTATGAGTAACTTCTATTTTTTTCACTATAAAGTTTCCTTGAAAGAGCGTTGTGAGGTTAAAGAGAATAAAACACGAGTGTATTATGAAGATAAATAAAAGATATACAGTTAACGAATGTCGTGCTGGCACGATGACGACTGGTTGGGACCGAAAACGACCAACCACCGCCCGTCGATTGCGTTGTTGAAGAGACCTGGTGCATTTTAGTGGGGACTGGTATCTCTGGTACCGTGGAAATTGGAGGGGACTATATTATATCTTGGTACCATCAGTGACGTTAACGCTCGACTGAAATACGAAATTTAGTTTTTTATATTTAGGATCATTTTATGCTTGGTTCTTTCAGGTGCAGTAAAAAGAAAATAAATAAATAATAAACGATGTTTAATTTTAATAGAATAATAAAAAAATGATTTTTAATTCTACTTTAAAATACGTTTTGAAGACTATTATGATTTTATGTAGTTCATTTTTGTATTCGTTTTTGATACTGACATGCGTTGTGCGGGCATTCGTGTCTCTAATCATTTTTTGGCAAACTTGGATATTTTACTGGTTTCTTCCATAACGGTAGATGATTTTACTTACTTAGTGCGCAAAGCAAAAGGCAGAGAGCAGTAGCTTACAGTCTTATATTGTCGATATAACAGAAAACTACTTTTTAATTTTTTAAGAGGAAACCCCACCTTAATTTTGACCCCTTTAAAATAAAATTATTAAACGAGGTAATATTTTTTTTCTTGCATCATTTTTAACCTGAAAACATATAAGATGGTCAAAAATATTTAATTTTAATTTTTGAAGAGGTTAGAATTTTTTTCTTTTGATCTATTGCATATTATTACAAATCCATGCGAGAAGTTGTTTAGAATGGTAAAATATGCATGGAAAAAAATTTTCGTTGAAAAATATTAAAAACTTTAAAAGAAGATCAATTTTTAATATTCAAATCTTCAACTTTTGCCGAAATTTCGAAAGCCTTAATGGTGTTCCGCAGTGGTCGCCTTTTAAAAATGGCTGCTCAAATGTAAACTTGATTTGAAAATGATTTTTCTCCCAATTCGGACAGTTATTGGAAAATCGGAGAAAATACAAGATATCCTGAATATTTTATCTTTCATTTGCGCGCAAGAAGTAAAAGATTTATTTAGATTTACAACGACAGGAAGTAAAATAAGAAAAAGTTAAACAAATGCGCGATACATAAAATTGCCACCAGAGGGCAGCACCTAATGGGCACATATAATTTTCTCATTCTACTTCCTGACGTCGTGTATTATATTGGATTTTCAATTTCTTGTGCACAAATGAAAGAACAAAATTTCAGGATAACTGGTATTTTTCCCTATTTCGCAATAATTATCCAAATTGGGAGAAAAATCCTTTTCAAATTATGTTTACGTTTAAGCAGCCATTTTTAAAAGGCGACCACTGTTTGAAATTGCGCAACACCGTTAAATCTTTAATTTTTTTCCAAACTTTGTATACTTACGTAATTTGATGCTATTAGTCAAAAAACATTATTAAAATTGACAATCACCTCATTTTCGTGGTAAAAACCATAAAAATCATAGTCCGAATCTTTCATGGTATACTTTATATATACCGGAAATAAATGCAAAAAACCATGATTTTTGTAGTTTTTACCATGAAAATGAGCTAATCGTCAACTTTAACTATGTTTTTTCGACTCAGAGCATCAAATTGGAAAAAAATAAAGGTTCAGGACTTCTGAAATTTCGGCAAAAGTTGAAGATTTGAATATTAAAAATTGATCTTCTTTTAAAGTTTTTAATATTTTTCAACGAAAATTTTATTCCATGCATATTTTACCATTCTAAACAACTTCTCGCATGGATTTGTAATAATATGCAATAGGTCAAAAGAAAAAAATTATAACCTCTTCAAAAATTAAAATTAAATATTTTTGACCATCTTATATGTTTTCAGGTTAAAAATAATGCAAGAAAAAAAATATTACCTCGTTTAATAATTTTATTTTAAAAGGGTCAAAATTAAGGTGGGGTCTCCCCTTAAGTTTTGGTATTTTTAAGTATTATTTTATATTTTTGATTTTTAACGAAACTGGAAATGTGAAATAACATTTTTGGAAATATGTGGAATTATATATTTTCAAAAAATATAAAAGTATTTGGAAAATCGAGAAAAGTTAGGGAAAATGATGAAAAAATCGGGAATTCCACACTCTAAATCTGAATCAGTGAAAATTTCACTGATTTCAATTCAGTGGCCCAGTTTTCTTTGATGAATCAGTGGAATTTCACTGAAAATCAGTAAAAACCACTGATTCTCAGTGAAATTCCACTGATTCATCAAAGAAAACTGGGCCACTGAATTGAAATCAGTGAAATTTTCACTGATTCAGATTTAGAGTGCATCATAACTTCAAATGCGAACAAACTGTACCCTATTTTTAACCCCTTAACGGGGTTGCAGGTCGAGAACTGTCAGTGTGCCAAGCCATTCTCTCCCACATTGAGGTATTTTTCCACTTTGATAATATTAAAAAAAAACTAAACACTTAATAAAATAGTGGGCCTTTACAGTAAAGCAAAATTAAATAAAGAATTAATTAAAATTTATTTATAGCTGGAGGTGACTTGAGAAAGAAAATGACCGCACAGAAAGGTTGAGCGGGTTGCCTACGTAAAGGCTTAACAATATGATACAACAGGGCAATAACTTTTCGTTTGTTGAAAATTATAAAAAAATATTTTGTAATACTAAAAATTAATATAAAAAACATAAATAAAGGCATTTTTGTTTATGGGTGATTTGTACGTAACTGTCGAATTTACCGGCCCTTCCAAAATTGCATTTAAAATGAAAAAATATTGAACCGGGTAAAAGTAAATTTTAAAAGTATATATGACAGCAATTTAAAACCAAAAGTATATAAATGTAGGTGTTATACTATACATATATTATATTACATCATAGGGGAGACCGAGGTGAGTTGAAACGATTTTTACATTATCCAGTATAACTAAGCCAAAAATTGTCCTATTTTTATAAGCTTTGTATTTTTGGATATAGGTAATTTTATGTAGTATGTGAATCAAAAATCAAAAATTTAAAAAGTTGTAAGGGTTTACTAAAAAATTGCAAAATCTAAAACTGTTCCCGGTGTTGTAACAGTCCCAGTAAAAAAAGAAGTATTGAGTGGAGCGTTTAGGAATTGAGTGAAGCTCTGAGCCAATACGGATTCGAGTAAAAACCGTATTCGGACGTCTGACTCAATCTTTTTTTCATCCGCCGAATACGGTCTTATTTTAGCATTAAAATTAAAATCACAAGACCAGAGTAGGGTAGAGTGGGGTAAAAAAGCCATTTGAGTTTTATTTAAAAACTATTAAGCCGATTTATCAGCTGTTTAGAATATAAATACTATTAGGTAATACGCAACTTTTGAATCTAGTTTGAATGTTGTACCTAGATTAATATTGTTTTTATTGTAATTTTAATTTTTTGTTGCTTTTTTGAAAACATTTTGGTGAACTTTTCAAGCATATTACAATCTGATTAAGTGAACGAATAATAAAAATAAATGTTTGTACATAAGGAGAAAAGTATACCGAAAACGTATACAATGTTAATTTTTGGAAATTGAACTGAATTAACAATTTATTTTTGCTTTTTTAATAACTGGTCTTGGGTGTAAAAAAGCCAGGGCAAAAAATCCATTGAATATTTTGTGAAATTCACTTGTTTTCTATTTAAACTAACCTTCTTATTTTACAAAATGTCTCGTGTTTATTTAATAAAATAAATTAAACACGACGAAAAAGTAGTTCAAAGTGCATTTAAAAAATAAACAATGAATAAACGGTTGCAACGAAATATGTTATCTGTGGTGAAACTTAAAGAGAACTTCTAAAAAAGGTACGAAAAATTGGCAGTGCAAATCGAAAACAGGTAAACTCAATATAATTTTCAATTTTGCTTGCTAAAAACTCTTTCATAATTATTAAAATATTTTTCAAATAAGACTATTTGTCATATAAATAAAGGAAAACTATAAAAATACCTAAATTGATAACATGTTTTGCTAAAATCGTAGGGTGGCTTTTTCACCCCACCAGGTGGTGCAAAAAAGCCACTTGCAGTGCTTCCGTAAAACTCTTATAACTTAGTCCTTTCATGAGATAAAAAATATTTCCGTCAAGAATTTTCAAGCTTAATAACTAAACTTTCAATAACAATTGGAAATTTGAGAAAAAAATTTTAAATACAGATTTTACAGCATCAAAAGTAAAAATGTGGCTTTTTTACCCCACTCTACCCTACACATTATAAATTGAAAGCACAATTGTCCTGGAATGTAAAAATGCCGATTTCGATAAGAAGCAGTGAATATTTGTTAAAAATTGGTAAAAGCAAAGTTTGACAAGCGCGACTGAATTTACCATGTGAATAAATGAATTGGTAAGTTTAAATGGACGAAAAGAAATCTACTGTTACCGACAGAAAGTTCCTAGAGAATTGTGATAAATTCAACAAAACAATGAAATTTCCAGGAAGGAAGAGTAAGGAGACCGAACTCTGTGTAGAAAGCGCTTTAAAAATCTCAGAGAAATATGCACGAAAAGTGCCAGGCTCACTGCGTTCTAGTCGACCTCCAATTAAGTTGATCATGCGCATAAGCTGTGTTGTGTCTCTGTTTCTCGTAAAAATTGTGCGAGTGAGATGTAAGATCTAATGTTTACATTTAGCCGGTCTTAGTGAGATACATACATAATTATACAATACATTTCGTTTTAATAATTATTTATTTATTTTATTTAAAAAATGTCGTGTTGTGTGCCAGGATGTAAAGAAAGAAAAAGAGTCTAAAAACATTAGTCTCTTCTATCCTTCTACGGTTCATAATTTCATAAATATATTATTAAATTATTTTAAAAATCTAAATAATATCACAATTGTAAATAAATAAATTTGCTTTTAAAATTAACACTGTTTAAACTATGTAATATTTACCTTGACATAACCACACTTTTCATCTATGTCAACACTGAACTTTAGTTCAATGCGCATGATCGACTTAATAAGGTAGTTCAAGTTGGGTGGGGGAAATCCAATATGGCTGACATCAGCTGATTTACCGGAGGACAAACAATGCATTGAATTCAATGGGACAAATCAGTTTTTTAACCATAACTTTTTAAATATTT